GTGGCTCCTGTGAGTCCAAGACATTCTGAAGGTGAAAATAGTCCGAAGCATCTTCCACCTATTTCTCCCTTGGCTGATCGATCATATGGCAATCCCATATATCGCAATGATGATGAGGAAAAAGTTGATTTTGCTGAGTCAAGCAATAAAATATCTCAAGAACTTCAGCAGATAACAAAGCTACAAGAGGAAGCCAATCAGAACATGGAGCGTAGTCTACAAAGCTTTCTACAAGCCCAACGAAAACATTCAGATCATTTCACTCAATGTTTGAATGTTATTGAAAGGGCCATTCATGACAGTTCTCGAGCTATTCGAGAAGAAGTAGCAGAAAGTCGCAGAACCTTCACTGCAGCTTCTGAGAGAACCATGGAACATGTTCGACAACAACAAAATGTTCCAAGGCAACCCGTACCTCCAGCAATGGAATTACCACAGTAAAATCTTCTAGATCATTCGCCTGAGGGGCACGGGGGGCATATTAATCAGCCACATGTGGTGCAGCAAATGCCCAATGCTCAAAATAATGCTCTTGGTGCTGGCCAGGTGCAGTTCAATAGGCAGCAGCAAAACAATCCTGCTGGTGGCATCCTTGGACCACAAGATCCTGTGGAAGCAGCATTCCGTGCAGCTGAGTAGTTCAACGCCAATCAACAAAGATATGTACCCCCTGCACAGCGTCCAAATGCTGTCCCACAGCCCAATTTGCAGAATAATGTTTTTCAACCACTCGGGCTACAAGCAGCAGCTCCTCCCTTGGATAGAAATCAACTGATTGATCTAGTCCAGGAGACATATGGTCCAGCTCTGAGACCATTGGTTCGTCCTTCCTATCACAAGCTGTATCCAGATTACATAGATCGGGATAATCCATTTCCTCGTGGATTCAAAGTGCCTGAATTTACTTTGTTTTCTGGGGACGCAAGCCAGTCAACCATTGAACACATTGGTAGGTTCACTATTCAATGTGGGGAGGCATCAGGTGATGATTTTTTGAAATTGAGACTCTTTCCAAGTTCTTTAACTGGTACTGCACTGACATGGTACCTAAGTTTGCCGCAAAATTCTGTGTTCACCTGGAGACAAATGGAAGATTTGTTTCATATTCAATTCTACCGCTCAGAGCCTGAGATATCCATGGCTGATCTTTCTAGACTAACTCAACGGCTAGGGGAATCTTCTGAAAATTATCTTATGCGGTTTAGAAAAGCCCGGATGAAGTGTCATGTTGCCTTACCAGAGCAAGAGTTCGTGAAGCTTGCTCAGAATGGTTTAGACATTGAACTTCGAAAGAAGTTTGAGGGGATGGAATTCAGAGACTTCTTTAAGCTCTCTTATAAGGTGGCACGTTATGAGAACCTTTTAAGAGAGGAATCCCAAAGAAAGGCAGCATCGCAAGGAACTTATTATCAGGATGCTTTTGACCTTGATGTTGCTGAGGTCTTCGCAAACAAGCCAGTAACTTGTCCTAATCTAGTGAAAGTCACTCAACAGGTTGAGGTGGCTGCAAAGCGTCTCCCGTATGAATCTAGGAGACAATACACATTTGATGTGACTAAAGTAAATGAAATCTTTGATTATTTGAAAAAGTCGGGACATATTAAGCTGCCGCAGGGGCATAGGCTCCCGACGGTTGCTGAAATTGCATCCAAAGATTATTGTAAGTTTCATAACTCTTGGAAACACTCTACTAATGACTGTGTTATTTTTCGAAATGTGTTGCAGGACAAGATTGACAAAGGGCTGCTTCATTTCCCTGAAAAACCCAAGGAAGCCATGGGGGTTGATGAGAATCCTTTTCCGAACGTTGATGTTGGAGTTAATGTTGCTGACATAAGTAGCGTCTCTCGAAGGACGTATAAAAGGTGAACTTTGGCTGCAGATGACTTTCGTTGGGTGATTGAGAAGGAAAGGGAACATCGTGCCCAACAGAATCAGAGGCTCGGGGGGCAACGCCATGCTGCCAGAATTTATGTATCCAGATCCAGGATGAAGGAGGCTCGGCATATAGATCGCTCTCGTATGGTTAAGCCTCCATAGCAACCTCCAAGTAAAAGGTGGGAAAAGGTCGTGCATCCCAAGTTTCCAAAAGAACCTATGAAAAATCCTAGAACTTTGAGAAGAAGGTTGCAGCGGAAGCGAGCAAAGGCACGTCGCCGTCAACAATTAGCTACTGAGGAAGTTAAGGTTCCACAACGTTTTCCCGCAAAATGAAGGATGGTGTGGAAGAGAAAAGAGAATCAGGAAGTTGCTGTCCAGAATGAATCTCAGTTGAAAGTGCCACCTCCTAAGCTCACTTCATTGATCGTCAATGAAAATGAGTTGAAGGCAACTTTTGAAGCAGATCAGCAAACAGAGTTGACTAGCGATGATAATCTTCTTCAGGACATGGATGTTCTGCAGATCAGTGACATCTCTATTAATCTCTCTTGTTTGGTTCTCACGCTTCCTTTGGTTTTTCAAGCCAAGGG